TGTTCTTCTATAAGTTAATATGAACCATATAAACACAGTAGAAACCAGCATCATCTAAACCAAATGAGACAACATTAATAATGCTGCATGACATTCACAGTCAAGAATTGAAAAAGCAGATCAGATTAATCTTTGCTAAACTTAACCCAATATTTAAGTCAGCAAATGCCATTACAGAAAAACCACAAACTTTCCAGGATAAAAGTTACTGAAACATTAACAATCATTAAATGTGAATGTTCTTCAACTTCATATATTTTATCTTTCCAAAATTTTCGATATTTCCACACTAAAATTCAAATTTCAATTGCTATTCACTAATTGCAAGAATCATCAATCATCAAACAAAGAAAGCAAACCTTCCATGGCCACAAGTGTAGTTATAGAAGTCTCTGCCATTGAGAATAATGCAGATAGACCTAAAGTGCGGTCAGAATCACACCTTGGTCTTCGAAAATCTTACAAACAGTAAAAACCTTAGGCCACGCATTCCTCACCAACACTGCCCACTGCTCAATCACTCCGTACCTTGCATTCACCACTTCCTCCACCGCAAGCACCCTCTTGCACCAGAAAACCCAAAAACCACAAAACATCGCCCCCAGAAAGACCCCCCACTTCAGCAAAATCTTCAGAGACTCCAAATCCAGGCCTAAAACCTCACCTTGGCCACCACCCAGATCATTGTTTTTTCACTTAACGATCTCAAAAGAGCTCTAGCACCAACAATGCCAAGTATTCACAATCTCAAAGTGTAAATTCCACCAAAAATGGACGGATTGAAACAATTGAGCATTTCAAATTTCAATTGTGTTGCACGAAACCCAAACACTTGGATCCGGAAATGAAGGGGGGTCGATTGATAACAGTTATAGCTGAAGGAAAATGTTAAAAATTCAAAAAAAAAAAAAAAAAAAAAAAAAAAAACAAAACTTTATTCCCTTTCCCAATCCTATTCCTTCTTCCTGTTGGAATTGAGCATGCTAGGTGACGAGGTAAAAACAGAGGTTGAGGGATAATAGGATGGGTATTGATGGATTTGCTGCAGATGGAACGCAGGAGTTGGGATTCATAATAGAAGAGGTGAAATTGAGGTGATTCCATTGGATTCTTTCTGTTGTGAAGGAAGATGTTGCCGAAAGCGAGTGCGAGAGAGACCGAAGCCCAAATACCCTTCCCAACATGACAATTACAGTTATATCCCCAAGACGATAGCCATCCAAAAATCCAGATTCCCCACTTATGAAATGATTCCATCAAAATCCAAACAAAGAAATTTTATGAGTCTGCTAAAGGAAGTGGATTAATTGGACAACTAAGAACGATTAACAGCTTAAACCTTCAAATATATTTTA